TTTCAAGCGACAGCTGAAAACTCATCTCTTTCGAAGCTACTTGACTTCATCATAAAAAAAAAAGTTTCTCTCTCTTTATTTATTCCTTCTCTTTCTAGCTTGTACTTATTTGAACAATGTCTAAGAACTTGGTATTACAACCACTTCTTGTGTCTGTTTGCCTCTTTAAGAAGAATCGCTTTATGTATCCCCCAATTGTAAGTCGCTTTGGATAAAAGCGTCTGCTAAATGACTAAATGTAAATGTAAACACTTTTGCGCACAGCTTTGTTACCTAATTATTTTGCTCCAATTACAAAACACCAGAACAGTGCTTAACATGTAACACTCAGGAAGTATTTTTGCATTAGGATTTATGAATATTAATGCAAACTTCCAACAGAATAAATCGTTTCATGTTTAGCTGATGTTTCTGTGAAGCAGCACTACTCTCTGAAGATCTGTTCTGTAGGATCTCGGTTTGTATTTGCCAAATGTGCTTTGCCTTGCTTCTTGCACCAAAATTAGTGATGCATCACTTTAAAAAATAAATAAAAATAAAAACATAAATAAAGTTTTAATTTAGCAAAAAGAAAAAAAAGGAAAAAAATTTATTTTATCAATTAATTAATCAAATATATTTAATAAACACAAATAAACATTTAAATTGCACGAGGCAGTTTTTTTAATCACTTTTTAATATAATTATAATTCTATTCCAATTTATTGCTGAAATATATACATTTAAATGACAGATGACATTTATTCAAACATGCATTAAATGTCAACAGATTCTGTAAAATACAATATGTAATACTGCATATATTTATCAAAATGCTCCCCTCTAGAGTTATTTTTTCTAGCTAATGATCGAGTTTAAGGTCATTGAATGTTTTTTCTGAGGTAAACGTGATGTTACGTGACATTATTGATCTCACCTTTATTTGACCCTCTAACTCTAACACTTTCTATTCTATTTTAATTCTACTTTATATTTATCTTTTTTATTCTATATTTTAAAAAACAACAAAAAACAAACACTAGCTTTCTATTTTTCTATTGTATCTACTTGTTTTTCTTTGTGTGTGTGTGTGTGTGTGTGTGTATATATTTTTTTATATATATACTTTATTTTTAGTTTTTCATTTAAATGTTAAGATTTGAAATTTTGTTGTATGCATTTGTCATTTTTATTTAATTTCTTTATTTTTAAAATGTGTACAAGTAGTATTTATAAAGTTTTAGCTTTTAGTTTTGGATCTGTGTTTAGTTGTTTTAATGCTACAATTGATTGCTTCTGTTGTCCTCATTTGTCGCTTTGGATAAAAGCATCTGCTAAATGACTAAATGTAAATGTAAAATGTCAAGCTGTTTTATTGATGGTTGAATCACTGATTGATTCTGTGATTCAGGACTGATTTCAGCGAGTTGTTCTGTTTCTGCTGTTCGGTCATGTTTATTTGCTGCTGTAACTAGTAGTAAAGAGGAAGAGATGATCGCTTCACTCCAGCATCTGTCAGCACTCATTAAAGAGCAGCAAAGACACATTCCCTCATTGAAAGCGGAGACATTGTTTCTTATCAAAAAGGGACAAATAAAAAAGCTTATTGTGATTATTGAATGGCAGGAGCTACAAATAGAGTTTAGTGAAGTATTTGTAAACTGAAAACAGAGTAAAAGATCTCTGTACAAAATAATTAAGTTGTCGAATGTCGGTGCATCACTAATGAAAATCACAGTCTAAGCCCTCCAGATGTGACGGTTCTCTCAGTAGCGGACCGATCACATCTCAGCTATCAACACTCATCTGACTCGCCTTGTCGGCCGCTGTGAGTCTCGTCCAGGGTTTGTCTGTGCGTCTGTCGTAGTCCTGAGCGTCTGCCACCTCCACGTAATCACAGAAGCAGATCAGGATCTTAGCGTGTCGCAGCTCCTCCACTGTAGGCCTTTGACTCAGCTGAAACACCACACACACTCAGCACGTTATAAACACACACACACACACACTCAGCACGTTATAAACACATCAACACACACACACGCGCACACACTCTCTCTCTCTCTCTCTCTCGCTCACACACACACACACACACACTCAGCATGTTATAAACACACACACACACACCCTCAGCACATTATAAACACATCAACACACACACACATGCACACACTCTCTCTCTCTCTCTCTCTCGCTCACACACACACACACACACACTCAGCATGTTATAAACACACACACACACACCCTCAGCACATTATAAACACATCAACACACACACACATGCACACACTCTCTCTCTCTCTCTCTCTCGCTCACACACACACACACACACACTCAGCATGTTATAAACACACACACACACACCCTCAGCACATTATAAACACATCAACACACACACACATGCACACACTCTCTCTCTCTCTCTCTCTCGCTCACACACACACACACACACACTCAGCATGTTATAAACACACACACACACACCCTCAGCACATTATAAACACATCAACACACACACACATGCACACACTCTCTCTCTCTCTCTCTCTCGCTCACACACACACACACACACACTCAGCATGTTATAAACACACACACACACACCCTCAGCACATTATAAACACATCAACACACACACACATGCACACACTCTCTCTCTCTCTCTCTCTCGCTCACACACACACACACACACACTCAGCATGTTATAAACACACACACACACACCCTCAGCACATTATAAACACATCAACACACACACACATGCACACACTCTCTCTCTCTCTCTCTCTCGCTCACACACACACACACACACACTCAGCATGTTATAAACACACACACACACACCCTCAGCACATTATAAACACATCAACACACACACACATGCACACACTCTCTCTCTCTCTCTCTCTCGCTCACACACACACACACACACACTCAGCATGTTATAAACACACACACACACACCCTCAGCACATTATAAACACATCAACACACACACACATGCACACACTCTCTCTCTCTCTCTCTCTCGCTCACACACACACACACACACACTCAGCATGTTATAAACACACACACACACACCCTCAGCACATTATAAACACATCAACACACACACACATGCACACACTCTCTCTCTCTCTCTCTCTCGCTCACACACACACACACACACACTCAGCATGTTATAAACACACACACACACACCCTCAGCACATTATAAACACATCAACACACACACACATGCACACACTCTCTCTCTCTCTCTCTCTCGCTCACACACACACACACACACACTCAGCATGTTATAAACACACACACACACACCCTCAGCACATTATAAACACATCAACACACACACACATGCACACACTCTCTCTCTCTCTCTCTCTCGCTCACACACACACACACACACACTCAGCATGTTATAAACACACACACACACACCCTCAGCACATTATAAACACATCAACACACACACACATGCACACACTCTCTCTCTCTCTCTCTCTCGCTCACACACACACACACACACACTCAGCATGTTATAAACACACACACACACACCCTCAGCACATTATAAACACATCAACACACACACACATGCACACACTCTCTCTCTCTCTCTCTCTCGCTCACACACACACACACACACACTCAGCATGTTATAAACACACACACACACACCCTCAGCACATTATAAACACATCAACACACACACACATGCACACACTCTCTCTCTCTCTCTCTCTCGCTCACACACACACACACACACACTCAGCATGTTATAAACACACACACACACACCCTCAGCACATTATAAACACATCAACACACACACACATGCACACACTCTCTCTCTCTCTCTCTCTCGCTCACACACACACACACACACACTCAGCATGTTATAAACACACACACACACACCCTCAGCACATTATAAACACATCAACACACACACACATGCACACACTCTCTCTCTCTCTCTCTCTCGCTCACACACACACACACACACACTCAGCATGTTATAAACACACACACACACACCCTCAGCACATTATAAACACATCAACACACACACACATGCACACACTCTCTCTCTCTCTCTCTCTCGCTCACACACACACACACACACACTCAGCATGTTATAAACACACACACACACACCCTCAGCACATTATAAACACATCAACACACACACACATGCACACACTCTCTCTCTCTCTCTCTCTCGCTCACACACACACACACACACACTCAGCATGTTATAAACACACACACACACACCCTCAGCACATTATAAACACATCAACACACACACACATGCACACACTCTCTCTCTCTCTCTCTCTCGCTCACACACACACACACACACACTCAGCATGTTATAAACACACACACACACACCCTCAGCACATTATAAACACATCAACACACACACACATGCACACACTCTCTCTCTCTCTCTCTCTCGCTCACACACACACACACACACACTCAGCATGTTATAAACACACACACACACACCCTCAGCACATTATAAACACATCAACACACACACACATGCACACACTCTCTCTCTCTCTCTCTCTCGCTCACACACACACACACACACACTCAGCATGTTATAAACACACACACACACACCCTCAGCACATTATAAACACATCAACACACACACACATGCACACACTCTCTCTCTCTCTCTCTCTCGCTCACACACACACACACACACACTCAGCATGTTATAAACACACACACACACACCCTCAGCACATTATAAACACATCAACACACACACACATGCACACACTCTCTCTCTCTCTCTCTCTCGCTCACACACACACACACACACACTCAGCATGTTATAAACACACACACACACACCCTCAGCACATTATAAACACATCAACACACACACACATGCACACACTCTCTCTCTCTCTCTCTCTCGCTCACACACACACACACACACACACACTCTCTCTCTCTCACACACACACACACTCAGCACATATTAACACACACACATATACTGTATATATATATATATATATATATATATTGAGCAAAGGGTCTGAATACTTAGGACCATGTGATATTTCAGTTTTTCTTTTTTAATAAATCTGCAAAAATGTCAACAATTCTGTGTTTTTCTGTCAATATGGGGTGCTGTGTGTACATTAATGAGGGAAAAAAATGAACTTAAATGATTTTAGCAAATGGCTGCAATATAACAAAGAGTGAAAAATTTAAGGGGGTCTGAATACTTTCCGTACCCACTGTATATACACACTCACTCAATCACACATCACATGCTCCCCATCATACCTTGCGTGAGAGTCGGCGTCTGATCTCTCTCTTCTCCTCCATCTGCTCCTGCTCATTACGAGCTGTGGGACAGGAGCAGGTCAGAGGTCAGAGGTGTTGAGTTCACATCAGCAGATTCAACACACATATGGTGTTAAAGGCTGAAGCAAGATCACTGCACATTACAGTCAACAGTGAGGATCTGATTTCATCCACGAGGAACAGACTGCATCATGGGAAGTGTGCTGTGGTGTGTAAGTGTCTCTCTGGGTTCTGGACTCACGTTTGAGGATGTTCCTCTGCTCCAGCTCTTCAGCCGTGGGTCTCTGACTCAGTCTCCTGTTCGACACACACACACACACACACACACACACACACACACACACACACACACACACACGTCAAAATCAAAAGAAGCTCCAGAATGAGTTAGGCCTATTTGAGCTTACAAAAAAGCATGGGACCAAATGAACGATTCTAGAGGTTTAAGACACTCCAGGTGAAAACATGCAAACATTTGAACCAATAGATATCACCATTATTCCCCAGTTCTCTGAAATGTTATTTTTAAATATGCAAACTAGGCATTGTCTAAATAAATATGCACTAGTTTGTATAAATGTATTGATCATAAATCTGAACACTGGATAAAGCCAGGCTGAATATTCTTGTTTGATTTTGTTGACAATAAAGGATTTTCCAGAGGAGATTTTAGATTTCTCTTTTTATCACTCGAAGAATCAGAAAATACTGTGAACAGACAGGAAACAAACACTTAAATGTGTATTTTGGATGTTTTCTTTCCTGTAGTCTGAAAGAAGTCATGATGTGGAAGCAAAATAGACCAAAATCTCCAAAACGGAGACAGATGAGAGTCACATTACAGCTGCAACTGACTGACGCTTCAGAAAACCGCAGTAATGCAGTGTTTGTGTGACACACATGACATTCAGTGGTTGTGCAACCGAAGGTGGTTTGTGAGAGAGAGTGCATGAGTGTGTGTGTGTGTGCATGCATGAGTGTGTGTGTGTGTGCATGCATGAGTGTGTGTATGCATGAGTGTGTGTGTGTGTGCATGCATGAGTGTGTGTGTGTGTGCATGCATGAGTGTGTGTGTGCGCGCATGAGTGTGTGTGTGAGTGCGCATGAGTGTGTGTGTGAGTGCGCATGAGTGTGAGTGTGAGTGCGCATGAGTGCACATGAGTGTGAGTGCGCATGAGTGTGAGTGCGCATGTGTGTGAGTGCGCATGAGTGTGTGTGTGAGTGCGCATGAGTGTGAGTGCGCATGTGTGTGAGTGCGCATGAGTGTGTGTGTGAGTGCGCATGAGTGTGAGTGCGCATGTGTGTGAGTGCGCATGAGTGTGTGTGTGAGTGCGCATGAGTGTGAGTGTGAGTGCGCATGAGTGCACATTAGTGTAAGTGCGCATGAGTGTGAGTGCGCATGTGTGTGAGTGCGCATGAGTGTGTGTGTGAGTGCGCATGAGTGTGTGTGTGAGTGCGCATGAGTGTGTGTGTGAGTGCGCATGAGTGTGTGTGTGAGTGCGCATGAGTGTG